ATGGTTCCTTTGATGAGGGTGTCTAGCTCCTCATCCCCTCGGATGGCCAGCTGCAAATGCCTTGGTGTTATTCTCTTAACTTTCAAGTCTTTGCTTGCATTTCCAGCTAACTCAAGTACTTCTGCTGTCAAATATTCAAGAATTGCAGCAGAATAAACAGCTGCTGTGGCTCCAACTCTTCCATGGGCATTAGTTCTTGACTTTAGGTGACGATGAATTCGACCAACTGGAAACTAGACTCCAATAAACAAAACCAAATGCATTGGTAAAAAATTAAAATTAAGCCCCGATTTGGTTCAGCTAAAAAAAAACAAATTTTTTGTAGATTTTGATAAAAATTGATGAAATGCGTGGTTGAAATGATGATGAAAGTTGTGGGTCCCCATAAAATGTATGGTTGAAAATGAGTTCAAGTATAAATGAGATTTAGAAAATGGGGAACAAACAAGGACTAAAATACAAAGGAGAAAGATTTATTACAGATGCAACTGAGCAACTAGGCAATGCAGAAAAAACACAATCTAAATAACAGAAAAGATGATAGATGTTACAAGTACATCAATTCCATGTCATATGACAGGAATATGAGAAAGCAACAATCAAATAAACCTAAATAAGCCAAAACTTTAACCCTCCGTGCACAAAAATGTAAATCTAGCAATCAAACACAAAAATAATTACATTATAAACTTTTGCAACAACTTTGTGTTGGATCAGCAATGTTACTACTGCCAAGGGCTTGACATCCACAGTCACCCACGTGTATGCAGAAACCCAAGATCCAGAACACAAACGACTGCATTGCTAGTTTCCATTAGCATCATAAACTAGATCAAAAGCTCAAGAGGGCTTGCATTCACTGGTATGAATGGTATTAATTCTCTCTAAGGCATGTTTTGAGCAACACTCGACTAGTTAGGACACTAAGCTGGATAAGATTTTAACTTATATTTCATTCTTAATATCATCTAGAACATCCAGTGTATCGTACCAAACATGCAATTGAAGTAAAGCATATAGCCACAAGTAACCAAGAACTTGAGAAATTAACCAAACCATGATTGTCTTTGATTGCAACAGGTCTTGCTGACTGTATATTAACCAACATTGTCATTCTCGTTTTGAAAGAATCACTAACTCAGACAAATGATTCAACTTTAAAGTTTCAGCTTTTAACCCACAAATAAAAAAGATTTGTCTCGTTAACTAGAAAATTATGCTTTCTCAACTCTCAAGGCCTCATTTCAAGAACGAGAACAGTAGGCATGCAAGTAAAAATCAACATTACTGAACCATCAACTTTAGTTTAATCCAACAAATCTAACGGGCGGCATATATTATATAATTTTTACCTGAAGACCAGCACGAGCTGAACGAGAAGTCGGTGCCTTTTTCTTGTCCTTGTCCTTGTTCGCAGCAGCTGCTGTTGTCTTTCCGGCCAAAAGCCCCTTGCCACCTTTTCCGGCCATTTCCCTCACCTTCACTTCCATCATCAACAAATAAATTACACGTTAACAATTCCATACCTAGCCAAGAAATTAAACAACGCAAATACAACATATATACTTGTAAAAAAGTAGTGATTTTTTTTCCAATCTATCGTAGTCCATTATTTTTAGATCTTTTTCTAATATCTTTGTTTAATTAAGACATAGGAAAGAAACAAGCAAATATTTCCTTAAATTCCGAATAGATCTAACAAATTTCAAACAAAAGATCATAAAATTACCAAAAAAAAAAATGAAAATTATCGAAATAGATGAACCGCATTACGACTTTAACCTACTACAATAAGCCTCGTGAACAAAAACTAAACAAACGACAGAGGATTAAAATTAGACATACCTTAGAAATTCAAAAGCAATGGAGGAGATGAAGACCAAGCAAAATGTGTGAGTGTGTTTGTTAGGTTGAGTAATTTATTACTTTCGTTGAATTTTTCGAATCCGTGGAGTGATTTTGGCGGTTGCTTTTTGGTGGAAATATAATTTAGGGATTTCGAAAATTTCAACAGTGTTTTTACAGAATTGCCCCTGACTTTGCGTAAAGGTGTAATCGGGTCGGTTGTGAGCCCATTAATGGGTAATTCTTATTGGGCCTCTCTACATCCAGTCCAGGTCTTTATATTGAGCCCACACTTTTACAGATATGATTCAGTACTCTTTCGTAACTTGTAGCACCTTTATAAGGGAAAAAAACATATTTAAGGTGTATTCTTTATCTCA